TATCTCTAGGAGGGCTTCTGCTACTTTCTCTTCTCTATATTTGGCAGTACCTTGCTTCTGGATAATGTGTCTCAGAGTCAACTATTGTTAGCACATACCAGTTGCCCTTGTAAGACACAGGTGTTAGTGGCCCGATGAAGTTCACAGCTACTCTGCTGAATGGCTCTTCTATGAGAGGCATTTCCCCAATGGCACTTTGGCTATCTTCCCTCTAGGTGTTGTTCTTTGACAGATGTCACACAACCTACAGAATCTACTCGCACCTCCAATTACTCCCAGCCAATATAAATTACTGGTGATTCTGTCTGCCATTTTCTTTTTTCCTAGGTGTCCTCCAACAATTGATTCATGAGCCAACTTCATCACTTGAGTTCTGTTGGTTCTATGATCTGTTTAACCTTCCCAGTATAACTGCCTTTATAGATTCGGTATAGAACTCCCTTCTGGTCCTCAATTCTATAAGTATCTTTCCACTTTGTTTTGTGCTCGACTTTTTTCTGGGCATTGTCCCAAGGTTTCTGCGACAAAGGGTCTTCTGTGCTTCCTTCAATTCCTGCAAACGTAAATTCGTGATAACGCTTTTTGACACTTGCAGGGGCTTGATGTCTTGTTTGCTCTTCTTTTCTTGAGCTCTGCTGGTGAGAGCAGATATTTCATCAATCTTCTTTCTGTCTAGTTCCTCAAAGTTTCTACTACCTGGTATGTTTCCTATCAACAAGTCGTGTATTGGTTCCTTGATACACACGGTCTCAAGGTCTCCTACATAATATGGAGTATCCACCTTTATTTTTGCTATGAGAAATTTTCTCACTGTCCCATCAATTAGCACACGAAAGCATACCATCCCTATCATCTGATCGTTGGATACTAAACTGGTTATCACTGCTGCACCCAGTGTCTTATAGAACCTTCACTTTCTTGTTCCCAACATAGCCTTCACATATTGGCATATTATGATTTGTTGGCATCTCTTGATATTTGTCACAAGATCAAATCACTACTGGCACTGTTGATGTATTTGCTAATTTGAGCCGACCATTAGTCGTGCACTGATCAATCACGTTTTCTTGTATTGAATTTGACAAGTATTCTTGATTCTCTTTCTTCTGGCAGCAGCATCCATAATGCCAGTCACTCTTTTCTTGTTTCTTACCAGCACTGTCTTTGTAAACGGCTCCAGCTGCTTTATCTTAAGGTTTCTTCTGTTGTTTGTTGGTAATGGATTTGCACTATTTTGCAATGTGTCTCATTTTATATTAAACATGACATCTCTTTTCCCTTCTGTCTATCAACCTTCTGTCACCTTTGGTAAACTCCTGCTTCTGGTCAGCCATTACTGGTTTCAAATGTATCTGGACATTCTTGAGCTTCCATATACTATTCTGCCAGTTTGATCATCTTGTCTACATCTTTTGGTGTTCTCTCCTTCGAAAACAGTGACATGTCAGTTGAACACTTGGTCATGAACTGTTTGCGTACTAATAGGTTTGCCAGTTCCTCAAAAGTATTTTCACACGTGGCCATGTCAGTCCATCTGGTGAAATATCGCCGCAGACGTGCCACAAACTGAAATACAGTTTCTCCAGTGTCGGGTTTGACTCCTCTGAACTTCAGACGAAAACTTTCTTCAGTAAGTTCATATCGTTTCAGTAAACTACTTTTACCTTGTCATAATCCATGGCATCTTCTGACGTCATGCCTGCATATACTTGTAGGCTTTTTCCTGTAAGAAGTGGGCTGAGACAAACTACTCAGTCGCCTTTGTCCCAGTTCTGACTTTGGGCGAATTTTTCATATCTCTCCAGAAAAGCATTCATATCATCTTTATGTTTATCAAATTTAGGCAGCTTGCGTCGGTTAGCCCTAACTCCATTGTCATTCTTGGGTCCTTCTTCCTTCCGTTGGGTGAGTTTTGCTATCTCAATTTGTGCTCTTATTCTCTCTATTTCTAGTCTCTCCTCTGTCTTTTCTTCTTTCTCAATTAGTATTTTCATTACCTCTATTTCTAGTTTCTCCTTCCTCAATTTGTCTCTTATGTTGCAGTTCTTTCTTTTACAGTTCTTGTTTAACAAACTTTCGTAATTCACTGTCTTTTAACCTAAGTTGAGATCCTCTTTCTTTATATTTATGAAAATTTGTTGACATGGTTATATAGCGTAATTTTAATCTCTCTACTATTTTAGTTACTACTATAGTTGTGCGTATATAGACAGACCTTCTTATTTCCGCTGTCCTTCACGTTTTCTTCTATGACCGTTTATCACTGTATAATCCTGGATGAGGATCGCCAATTGTCAGATTTTAAAAAATAATATTATATATGTATATGGGCTCTGGTATTGTTGTTTTTTTGCCAATTGTCGAAATAAATGGCTTTTACTTATATTTCTTAATAGTATAAATATATACTATGTT